GGCTGCTGCAGAGCGGGAGGAGCGCATCCATGGCCCTGTACAACTCTGTCTACTTCATCGTCTTCTTCGGCTCCCGCGGCTTCCTCATCCCCAGGCGCGCCGAGGGGGCCACCAAGGTTAGTCAGGCCGTGCTGAGGGCCAAGGTTCAGAAGCTGGCCGAGAGCCTGGAGTCCTGCACGGGGGCCCTGGATGAGCTCAGTGAGCAGCTGGAGGCCCGGGTCCAGCCGCGACCACGACCTGGGGGTTCCTGCTGACCAGCGCGCAGGGTTGTTGTCCTTTCCTTCTGTGACCACGGCCAGAAACCATCCTCAGGGAATGCCCCGGATTTGTAGCTCTCTTAGGAAAGGCAGCACCACATCCGGTGTGGAACTGAGTGCAAAGTATGAGAAAAACTGCGCTGTGAGTGGATGAGTCCTCATGGGTCTTCTTCCTCAACGTCCTGACAGCCTGCCTGGACTTGAGTGCCAGGGACTCTGACTTGTTGGTCCCAGAGCAGTGTGTGACCCGAAAACCTTTTCCTATGTCAAACACCTGCTTGGCTTCACACAATAGGGCAGCTGCTGGTGTTTTAATATTCTTTTAAGGTCCCTGCCCCTGCCATGATGGTTTGAGCTGAGGATGGAGGGGGTGGCACACACTTTGTCCTCCCCAAGGCTGGCTAGGATTTGAGGTCCTCAGAGTGCCCTGTGAAGACCTCTCTTCCAGAGTTTCTAATACCAAGAACTGGAATGCAGAGCAAAAGCAGGCTCTCTCTGAGCTTGGTAGGAGGGTTCGGGACCCACTGAAGGACCAGGGCTGATGTAACCTCCCCTTCCTGTCCCCTGAATTCACCCACTCATGGCCAGCCTGGGTATGGTGTGGAACTTACCAGGGTGGCTTCAATCCAGCCCTCCAGGTACCCCGAGAGAAGTCACCCCAGTAGTCATCTAAGCCCTGCTCCTTTGCATGAAGAAGCTGAGCCCAAGAAAGACGTCAGTTACTGACATCTCAGTGTAGACAAGAGAGCAGTGACTTCTGAGTTCCATGGTCCTGGGTTTATGACCTGCTTGGCCGACTACATTTCTGAGGCTGGCTTCCTGTTCTGTAAAACAGACAATAAAACCTTAGCCTGCTGTGAGATAGGGGGGCTGAGTTCCTAACACAGTGCCTGGCTCGTAGTGTGGCTCCTGGATGGCTCGCCAGGAAATTCACCAGGGAATTCTTTAGAAAGGCAGGTTTTGGACCTCAGCCTGGGATTTATAGAATCAGGAACTTTGGATGTGGGGCCCAGCACGTAAATTTAAACAAACCCTCCAGGTGACACTAATGCACACTGAGGTTTGAAAGCCACTACAACCAAGGTTACTTTTTGATTCCCTCAGTAAGCTTTGTCACTAGGGGCTCCTGGTCTTGAGAATCATTCACAGAAGGTCGGGGACAGACTGTCCCAGAAGCCTAAGAAAGAATGCTGGAGTGTGCTTGTACTCTAGCCAGTGCGTCCTGGGGTAATTTCTGACCAAGTGAACTAAGAGATGTAGCACAGTATGCCCTGTAGAGGGCAGTGTTGCCTACTCATTGTGGAAACGTACAGAAATGAATGTGAATTTATCAGAAACCGATTTTTCTGTTACCTTCCCCGAGAACTCCAGACTACCTGTTTTTTAATTTATTTTAAGTTTTTAATTTAATCACTGTTATTTGAATTTAATTTTATTTAATCACATTTAGGAAACAATAAGACTAGCATATTTCTAAACAAGAGACTGATGAGGCTCTTTTTTTCCCCCAATACTGGGGACCAAATCTGGGTCCTTGATCTATTGAGGCAGGGACTGGAACCACTGAGCTAAATCCCCAGCTTGTCTGGTGGGGCTCTTTTTAAGAGATGAGGTTGAGTTTGATTTTCTAAAGTATTTCCTTCAGAGGGGACTTTTTCCTCTAGTGTTTTAAATTATCTTTTTAAGAAAGTGTGGGAGTTCTGCACAGAGAGAGCAGGAGCTGATTTTAAATTTGTAAATTGATACTTGACTTGTGAGATATAGAAATGGTGCAGTAGGCTGGGTGTGGTGGCTCACGCCTGTAATCCTAACACTTGGGAGGTTGAGGCAGGAGGATCGCTGTGAGTTTGAGACCAGCCTGGGCTACATAGTGAGTTCCAGGTCAGTCTCAACTACATAGTGAGACCCTGTCTCAAAAAACCAAACAAAACAAAAGAAATGGTGCAGTATATTTATCCTGAAGGTCCTTTGCTGGAAGATAACACTGCATGTGGGAAGAGAACCTATTTAGTTCAGGAAAAGAAAAATAAAGAGGCACATGAAAGGAACTCGTAGACCTTGGGAAAATGATGTCCCTTGAAGTCATGTCTTACGGGTGACAGGCAAAATAGCTTGAGCCATTTTATGGACCTTAAGAAACCTGTCAACTGCGTCTAGGAAAATACTTAGAATTTCTTCAGTTTCCATTCCTTCAAATATAATGTTGAATCATCAGTTGTAAAGTCTCTGGAACCACATACAAAAGCCGTATCCGCATTCCCGAATTACTTCCTATGCTAGGTACCTTTGCCACGCACCCCCCTTCCCAGAGGTCGCTGTGTGTCAGAGGAAGTTTATTTTAGCACCGGGAGTTTCTATATTTTTACTTTTCCTATAAATAGCAATTTGTCTGTTTGCTGGTTTAAGATTGACATCGGCTTCCTTTAAAACTGGTGCTCTTATTCTGGACTGCTTTGCACAGATAAAGTGAGTAGTACCTTCTGCACTGGGCAGGACCAGAATGCATTACAGCAAAAACGTAACAACCATTCCCTAACCCCATCATGTATTAACATTGGGGATTGAGTTATGTTTTTCCAATGCTTGCATTGTTGCAGCAGCAACAAGGGAAAACTTTTCCTGTCCCTTGAGTATTTTGAGTTTAATGTCTGCTTTGGAAACCATACTTGCATGGAGTAGAAATTCAATAAATGCATTTGACTAATTTAATTAATGACTTGACTATTCATAAGAATTTGTTGATAATGAAAGATCTTCCATCCTCTCATGTGTCTGTGATAAAGTGAGGCCTCTACCAGGATTTAGTTAAGTTCAGTTAAATTGATATTACTTTCTTTTATGGGAATGCAAATAGGGCTTTTTCTTAAGGCCTTCATTTTATAAACAAACAGGCTGAAAGGGTATGTTGCAAAGGAGAAGGGAGAGGGGGCATTTGGATTATAGGTGTATTTTGCAAAAATGTCAGGGTTTGAAAAATGCACACGTTTGTACTAAATGTTGAAGCATTTCTCTGTTTCTTGGGTTTATAGTCATTTGGGTTATTTTGTTTCACAATAAAGGAGACTCATTTATTTCTGCATTTCAATGATTTAATAAAACTACATCCTGCTCCATTAAAAAAAATAATCCTTAGCAAACATTTTGGCTGTGAAACACCAGTTATTTTCAATATGGTAAATGTCAAAGCCGAAAGTATTTACTGGGAGAAAAGAACAGAGTGGAGTGGTGTAGAAACCACTCTGGATCAGATACGTCAAACAATCAGCCAACTTGATATGTTTCTCGTGCAATAGCTTGCTGTGAAAAGAAAGTAGAGGGAATTGAGCAGTTGAGATAAAGACATTGTGCAGAGGTAAATGGGGATACAATTAAAAGTAGGAACTTCTGAATTCATTTTTTCCCACTGTAGCAAAATTACTCCTTTCCTTTATTGAAGCAAAATGCTCATGTTTCAAACTTTTTGATCTTTCTATAATTATGTGGTCTCATGTTTGCCTCTGTATGAATTAGTAGCTTAGTCAGAGGCCAGATATTCACTCGTTTTCACTTAGAACATTCAGTATACAATTATATGAATCGTTTTTTAAAGTAATCAATTCATATACAGGAGCTCCTTTATTATCTAGAAAATGGACTTCTAGCACTCTCAGAACCTTTGTGTATACTTCCAACCTGGGAAGTAATCCAAAGGATGCCTAGAATCAGTCCAGATTAGCTTTAACAAAACCCAAACTCTAGAGAGAGGCAGGCAGGGAACATGAGGGACATCTTTTTCAGGAAGGCAAAACTTTTGCAGAAATCCCTGAGGGACTTCACCCTGTAAAGCTCAGATTTTGAACTGTGCAAGGCAGCCTGGGAAATGTAGTTTTTCAGCTGAGGATCGTGCTGCCGTGAATATACCTTCAGTTCTGCTGGTAAGGAAGAAAACAGAGGTGACCATTGGATGGGGATGGGGTATAAAGCACCCCAAGTCAAAGCTTGTTGTTGTTGCTGCAGGCAGCTGGGGGACTCCTGTTCTTTAAGAGCCAGTCTCTGCATCTATACCTTAGAAATGTTCCTGGGTCTGGACGTTGCCCTTTTCAATACTGCACAGGACCCTATCTTTGCTGAAGCATATGGAATTCCTGTAGCAACAAGTGTTTTTTCAGCTAAGTGCAATAAATTTGTGGAGTTGATGGGTTGGGATGTTACTTTTTCCTTCTGGCAAACTCATAAGGGGAAGTAAGCCTTGATGAGGTCTGGAGTAGGACAGTGAGCCATAAGATCTGGAAAAAATCTCTCAACAAGCCGAGAGTTGTCAGGAGAAAGGAAATAGTGCTGCTAAATCGAGACCCATGTGGGGGCAAGGATGCAGGTTGGGGTCCTCAGGATCACCACACCTGATTGGCATCTCCGTTGTGCTCTAGTCTGTGTGGATAGAGATTCTGCAGAGTGTGAGGTTGAATCTTGTTTGGTATGTGCGGTGTAACCCCAGAAGTAGGTGTGCAGGCCTGTTGGCTACTGGGTTTGTCCTAGAGCTTTGGCCAAGGGTCACAGCCAAGGCCTCTGCATCCCTTATGCAAAGGAACAAGCAGATCCTGGCTGCATCCAGTCACCAAATTGACCAAGATAGCTGTAACTGAGAGAATCTTATTGTGTAGCATGGGAAGAAGGGGTGATACCTAAATCTTTCTTTTAAGTGAAAAGCTTCATCTTCTGGGTGCCCTGGCTGACATGCAAACACTAACTTCTGTCTTCACCTTATTGTTGAACCTGCGTGTTCACCATATCATTTAAGAATAGTATGAGGGCAGGGGTAAGGGGAAAAAATGAGAATCAAGACTTGTCATGTAGAGGTACAAGATCCCAACAATGAATATAACTGTACTGTATCCCTAAAATGTTCCAATAAACTCAATTAAAGCTGAAAAAAAAAAGAATAGTACTTTCCCCAGTGCCTAAAGTGACATTTTGATATATAGAAAATAAATGTGAAATATTTAATCATAGCGAGCATTTATTGAGGTCTCACTAGGTACTGTCTTAAGTTCAATTGATCTGCGTTATCCCATTTAACTTACAAAAATCTTATAAGGCGGATGCTGAAATGACCCTATATTATTAAAGAACTGAAGAAGTCACACGGTGAGCAAGAGTACCCCAGGAATTGAATTTGGGCCACCTGACTCCAGGGTTAGGCTCTTAGCTATTCTTAACGTAAGTATATTTTCCTGATAAAAGATAATAAAGAGCTCATGGTGACAATAATATTAATAACAAAATTGACAGACTCATTCACTCATAAAACATTTACTGGGCACTCACATTGTACCGTGTTCTGTCATTTGTGAAAAAATACGGACTGGGTTCTAGATCCCATGACAGGGACAGTCTAGTAATCTAGGCGGCATAATCTTATGCCAGTAGGTGAATCAATAAATTATAGTTTGGCAAGTGGCTACTACTTGCATTGAACAATGTGAGTGTGATTTGAAAGTTATGCAGCTTCAGCTTTGATCATAAAAACACGTGTATGCGGATATTTTGTAATGCTGCCCCAGATGTCCCAAACACAGCAAGATACTTGGTT